GCCCCCCCACCCCCGCGGCCCGAGCCTGGCGCGCTCCCGTGCCCAGGGCCCTGCGTCACTGGTCGCACCATGCAGCTCGCTCCCAGGGTGACTCCCCCTTGCCAGGGAAACATTGCTGCACTCCCCGAGCTGTAACGCTGCAGCTGGTCACGCCGGATAACCCCTCTCTTGTTTTTGCTCCTCATTCAGCTCGCCTTCATTGAACGCAGAAGAGAACAAAAAAATGGCCTTTTGATTTCTCTCCCTCTCCTGCAAAGGCCGCTCTGATTTCTGTGGCATGGTGCCATGTCCCCCCTCCACAAAAACGCACAGTATTAACAACGCAGTGCTTCGTGCCTCGTGAAAGAGGGACGAGCGGGGTATCAGCTCTGTTCACGTTTCTTCAAATAACGTGATTCCCTTCAAATCCCCGCTGCTTCTCAGGGCCACATCCAGGGCTCTTAAAGCCGGCAAACTTGACGTCCGGCTTTTTTAAAGAGAAAAAGCGACCTGAAACGCAGGCCGTAAAGCTACAGAAGGGACGGGCTCCGATCCAGCCAGCTCTGACCAAGTGCCATCATTTTTCCAAAGGGGCAGCTCATGGGGCAACGGGGTAGAAAGGAAAACCGAAAGTCCTTGGATGAACTAAGTCTCTCGCGTGCACAATTTCTGTAGGAGATGAACTCCCGGGGGATGGTTTGCACATGGAGGAGTGTCATACCCAGGCTGCGGACAATATCGAGGCTTCATTGAAGCGGAGTCCAGCGAGGCAGGTGGAGGCGGGGGCGAGCGGCCTCTCCTCGCAGCGCCCCAGGGGGCTTGGGGAAGGCTGCGGAGCTTCCCCTCCATGTCACTGGACTTGTCTGAACACGATGTGCTCGCTGTCACACAGACCTGAAGGGCAACCCCCTCTCCCCTTCCCCCTGCTCTGTGATCTGCACGTAAGCAACAGAATTGGGCGATGAGAAAAAAAAGTCTTCCCTTTGCCTAAATCATGCCAGCCGAGGAAGCAGAAGTCCCCCCGGCCCTGGCTCTCTGGGACGGGGATGCGAGAGGAGTGGGGATGGATTTCACTCCACAAATGCCAAGGCGCTCCCTCGCCCTGGCTCCTCTGACTCCTAACTGCGGGAAAGCCCCAGGCTCCCCGCAGGAGCTGCCAGGCTCCGGGCTCACGAGACCAGCGCAGGGAAACAATAACCAGAGAGCAGATCTAGCCTCAGCAAAGCGCTCACGGGTGCTGGCAACTCCCTTTCTAGTCTGGGAACAGAAAAAGATGGGCGATTAGCACGTGTGAGCCGGCTCCGCGGCCTTTCCTCTTCCGGGAAGGATGCGCTGGTGGGAGCGGGGATTTCTTTTCCCGTGATGATTAAACCCTGCTTTGAAGCGGGGCCCCGGGGGTCCCTGCCTGGGAGGCGGCGGCACCGAGCGGCCGGGCAGGACCCATCTGGGCTGCTGGAGGGGAGCAGAGTGAACGATGCCAACCTAACAGTCAACGCTAAAATCTCCCCCAAGGGCGGCAGGGCGCCTCTCCCACCGCGCTGTTCTTTCGCCGGCCAGGAGCAGGGCGGCAGGAAGCCGGGTGAGTCTCCTTGGGCCGCCACTCAGCCGGAGAGATGTTTCTTTAGCTCTGCAATAATCCTGGAATTAAAGCGCGTGTGGAGGAGGAGCAGGAGGAAAGGCAAGAGCCCAGGCAAGGAAGTCTCCCAGGTGTGTGCCCCGGTGCCAGCACACACGCAGCCCGGCAGCGCCAGCGGCGTGAGCTGGTGG